ATATCGTATGGAATATCCCTTTGGCCAGTTTGGGTCAGCTGTCCTGGCTATGCTCCCTCCCAGCTTCTTGTGCACCTCCTCTCTGGCAGAGTATGGGAAGCTGAAAAGTCCTTGACTTAGTATAAACACTGCTCAGCAACAACTAAAACATCAGTGTGTTATCACATTATTCTCATGCTAAATCCAAAACACAGCACTATACCTGCTCCTAGGAAGAAAATTAACTTTATCCCAGCCGAAACCAGGACAAAAGTTGAGTTTCCAGTTATGAAAGTTAATGAGAACATATAACTAGGAGTGACTGCTGAAATGACTTCTTTTGATCTGCTAATTATAGATGGCTACATTGTATACTCCTCCTCATATGTTGCTGAAGCCTCAAAATAAAATAAGTCAAAGGATACATTTACTGTTGAATTAGTTTCTATTCCTTTTGTGTTTCTGTTTAGCTTCCCTTCTAATTGCGCACCTACAGGTATCTTGTATTCTTCATTTGTACTGTTTCTTTTGTAGCTCAAACAGGAAGAACATTTGTTTTTGTTCAAGTGCATCTAGTGACATTTAGTAATAATTTTCCAAAAGTGTAATTTAAAGATAATGCAAGGAAGCTATCTAATGTGAAAACTAAAATATATACATTTGTGCATGTTTCAGATGTGAATCTTCCCTTTCAACCCCACCGATTTTTAACCTTCTTGTGATGCTGATAATATATTGGAGTCCTATTTCTTGGAGTTGTTGTTTGTGCTTTTTGCAGCGTTGACCGGGAACCAGAATAATGTTTGCAGCAACTCATTAAAGTGCCTTCCAATACCATTGTCTTCTATTGCTGTGTTTTCTAGTCACATTTTCAAGTGTTCTCCCCTAGCTGGGTATTGTTGTTTATGTGTTTGTGGAGGTATTTAATAGCCCCATTTTGAAGTAAATGGTTTGATATGTTTTTATTATTCGCTGTGATTTTCCCCACCCTCCAGTATAGTATACACAGATACATTTAGGGCTAATCTCCCATATCTGTATATCTATATATTTTTAATTTACAGGAATTTCTGATAGTAGCTAGTGAAAACTGATTGCTGTTATTTGCTAGTATTACTTTCTTATAAACTTTTTTTTAATCTTTTTCATTTGGTGCTTTCCTACTTCATTTTTCTTTGCAGCAATACTTGGCTTTTGTAACAGTTACAATTGTTGCTTGTATCTCCATTTAATTTTGTTAGAGATTTTTCTTGGCTTAACTGCAGCATGCAAACATGTTTTAGTATTAGTTTTCCAGAGATGCAACCTCTGAGCATATATCAACTTCATAATAACTATGAAAGTAGTAGCAGTTTTTGCTGTAGAACAGATGTGAAATTGCGAATAGTGCCAGACTGATCAAGTCTTGCTATTTCCAAATTGCAAAGTTCTTGTTAATTTTCGCTAAAATTCTAATGCCTTCTCCTGTTAGAAACTCTTAGTTGAAAAGTCAGGTTCCAGGAGCACAGAAAAAAAAGGGCTTCCACAAACAGAAATGTTTTGCTGAAATCGTTTTATCAGTTCAAATGAGCCAGTAAAACATTTTGATTAAATTAGGATTTTCATGGCCTCACTGAGGATTTAATAGTTCACGTATATGAATTCAGTTTCAATCCTACACAGGGGCCAGATTAAAATGTGGTGAGGAGAACGAGGGCCCTCACACTCCCATGTTATTTATAATACAGTCAGTCCTCTAAATGATGAGTAAATCTGCTTGATCTCAGTGACATCCTGAATGTTTTTGCTCCCTTTAACGAAGACTAAACTTTTCTAAGTCAACAACTGTTTAGTATTCTGTCTAAATTCTGCTTATTTAAGAACTGTTGATGGTGGAAGATGTGTGAGAATTCAGTTTCAATCCTACACAGGGGCCAGACTAAAATGTGGTGAGGAGAACGAGGGCCCTCACACTCCCATGTTATTTATAATACAGTCAGTCCTCTAAATGATGGTAAATCTGCTTGATCTCAGTGACATCCTGAATGTTTTTGCTCCCTTTAACGAAGACTAAACTTTCTAAGTCAAACAACTGTTTAGTATTCTATTTAATTAAAAAAAAAAAAACAAACTGAAAATAATCTAGTCTCTTTCTTTTCCCCACACATTAGGGGAAAAAATTCCTGCGTAACTTTATGTTGTTGAATATGCTCCAGATCTTATTCTTTAGAAAACTTTTATTTTGGGGTCTGAAACTTGGAATAAAGGTGAATTTGGTAGTGAAACTATCATTTTAAATTTTATTACTTCTAACATCTGCGCATGTTGGCTAGCAGAGGCATGCTCAAGAATGTTACCAATCTTCTCCACCCACATGCCCTCAGGAAACTCAGCCTGATGTAAACAGCTGCTGCAGTTTTTGTTCTTCATATTCTGAGTAGGTTTTGTTTCTTATTCTGCCTGAAGATTTCTTCGTGGAATAAGGTAGCATGGTTGTCCAAAACAAACATGAAATGGTATATAAAATCATCAACAATGACCATTCTAAAACTTCTGGAAAGTTCCAAAATTTCATGTGTAGTGTATTCAAAATTAGCACTCCTGTTGTGGAAATTGTTCATCAAAGAAACACAGGATGACATAGACCATCCTGATCAGACCGAAGTTCAGAGATGACCACAGAGCACCCTTGGTTCCTGTGCCTGTGAGGGTTTGTATGCTTGCTTATCCTTAAAGACCTGACAGGTCTTTTTTAATGCATATCATCCTTATCTTAAGCATGTCTGTGATGCAGATAAACTTCACAAAGGCTAATATTAAGACTAGAAGCTATTTAACATTGACTTCTTTTGAAGTGTATGGAGAGATGTATAGTCATCAAGAGAAGGATGAAGAACACTGACTTAGTTCTTTCCTCCTTTTTCCCAAAAGAATCTTTCTCTTTCTTAGCTTTAGAAGGAGCCAATATGCACTGGCTTTAAGGGCTTGAAGTTAGTGTTTGTGAATTCCCTCCTTCTGCCTAAAATATTTGCTGGGTTTAGGCCCAGGAGATTTTCAGGAGCACTGCAGTTCCATATGCCTAATGGAGGGGCTGGGAGATCCCTGACAATGCCTAAATAACTCAGTGCGACTTTTCATAATCTTCTGTCCTTAACTGTTACTGTAATAAAAGCAGTGTCTTTTTATAGAGATTAGAGCACTCCATTTTTTTTTCTCAGCCTTTCTATTTTTGAGCCTTACAGCACCGTTAGCACAATATAAATGTTAATGTAGTGACAGTATCGGCATTTTTCACCTCTATCATTTTGAAGTCATGCTTTTTCTATCACACTAGTCTTAGGTCAGAAAAAAGAACCCTGGAATTGTGCGTTGTCCAGTGGAAAAACAATATGTGAAAATTCTGATTGTTACAAATATTTTTGTACTCAATATCACAGCATTGACACTGCTAGATGTAGTGCTTGTAGCATAAAGATCTTCATGAAGCTGCAGAATTTCAGGGAGTATTCTTTGCAAGAAGCACAGCAGGAAGCCCGAGTGTCGCAGGAAGTAGGGTAATAGCATTCTTTTTATCTTTGTGTTGGGAAATATTCTGTGTGGCTTGCCTTATGCATTTATCACAAATGAGGATGGAGATGTAAGGTTTGACTTGGAGACGACAGAGGGCGTGATTTTCTTTACTTACTTTCCTCCCAAAAGGAGATTTCCACCATTTACATCCTTTTATTTAAAAAAAAAAAAAAGCGACAGCCAAGTGCTGCAAAAATATCATAGCCATGGTGAAGGGTACACCATGCAATCACATGGCTCAATCATCATTGACTTTAGCTGTGTGGTGACCTATAGTAGTTAGAACATCCTTTCATGAGTCTATGGATTTTTTTAAAAATTACCTGTAAACAGGTAATATTAAAAAGAAAAAATATTCAACATTCATCATATGACAACATTGGTAAACTAAGTTAAATCTGCCTATTTGTCGTTAACTCTATCCCTGCCGAAACCAGGACAATATTGCTTTAGAAAAGTTAGTTTATCACGAAGTGAAGTGATTGTTGTCTTTTTTTTTTCATTGGACGTAGAAATTCTTGCATACAGACTATTGGTATATGCCTAAGAGTTTTAGGCACAATGGCATTAATGCTTAGCAGTCCTGCTGTAGCATAATGCTACTGGAACTTGTGACTCTTTGCAGAGTAAAAACAAAACTAAACTGTTCTAAGCTCTTTCGTGGTTCTAAAAACCAATTTCCACTAATTTTTTAATCCTATATGCAGGGAACTGGTGGGAGTAGACATTGTTTATGTGTTGTTGCATGGATTATTTTTAAATGACAGTTGGGAAAATACCTGTTTCAGAGTTTTTATTCTTATTTATTTTCTCTTGGAATACAACTAGCTTCCTGTCTCTTATTTTTTCTGTTTAAGGAAGAGAGGTAATTTGCACTGGCAGGTCATTAGTTGACAGCTGTACACAGTTGTGTAACTCTTTCATAAAATTTGCATGTTTCAACGTCCTTACTTTTCAGAGGTGCTAGTCAAGAATGAATTGTATGCAGGTAAGCTGACAAGAGGGTTGTTACGACAAGTCAGAGCTAATTCCAACAGCTTTGTATTTGAGGGCGAACTTAAATAGAATATGTCCTTTTTAACAAGGACTATAAGTTAATACCTTTTTTTAAACGTTCACTTTTAGATGAGGGAAGATAAAATTAGAATGTGTACAGCATTATTTTCAATTTAGGACAAAATGGCAAGTTTCTGAATTAAACAGTTATGCTGTAGTCAGTTTGAAGGAAGAGCCTCACAGGACTGATCCATGTTACGTTATAACCAGTATTTTGTCTCTTAATGTTGGTTGCTTTAGGAAATGACCATTCAAGAATCTTCGTAATGGCATAACCAGACATAGAAATACTGTTTTATTTGTTGTCACTGATTGATTTGGTCTGAAAGAGAAGATGTGTATGCTCAAATTTTATGCCATCTGATAATCGTCAGTGACACATCTAATGTTTTGGGTTTTTTTAATTCCCTCTAAGTTTTAAGGTACAGTGTTACCTTATAGCACTGATTTTCTTCAAGTATATATAAGAAAGCTATTTCTACAGAAAAAGCTTAAGTGCACTGTACTATAAACTAAAAGGGCTTGCCCTTATGACAGCATGTAAATGTGATGAGATACCTGGTAAAAGAAAATTATTTTAAACCCATGCTAAGTCAATATAAGAATAGTATAGTATAAGGTAACTGTTTTTGGAAAGTCCTTCACACTAAAATCTGGGATGTTCCTCTTTTACTATGGCAGTGTTCTAAAGAACAACAGTTAGAAGACCCTTCTAATGCTTGGTAAGTTTCTTACACCATGTTGTAAATTCAATTATTCTATACTGTCATTTCAGCAAACCTGCGATCTTGAGAATGTAAAGCCTGAAACAAAGCGGTATCTAGAGAAATCAGTTCAACTGGGAAAAAGAAACGGACTCCATCTTCCTAAAGAAGTGCAGAATGTAAATACGGACTATTAGTTTATAAAGCAAAGGTGACAAACTGTTGAAGGGATAAAATTACGGTTGTATAGCTGTGCTAAGCATATATTTGAACTTTGTGCTTTTGGACCTGCTTAATTACTGCTCTAATCTTAGCTGTTCTTAGTTCCAGATCCATCCTTTAAACTTCAATCACTTCAATCAGGTTTTTAAATTAATCTGTTAGCTACCCACGGTACTCAGTGGATAGGAGTGGTATGCATCACCTCTCTTAGCCCTCCTCAGTAAAAGAAGCCTATCTGGAAGAGTTTTTGTTATATATTCTGATTACAGAGAATGCCTAAATTAGATAGATTCCTAGCCAAGAGACCTCTCAAAAATGGTATTTGTGAGTCCAAGCTTCAGAAGTGTGTATAATTGTTACAAAGAGACAGCTATTTTAGTTTCAATTATTAACCAGTGTTGTAAAATGTGTCCAAGATTTTAGCATTTTGACTAAAAAAACTTGAGGTAACTTAAAGGGAGCACAAGCCGCGCTGAGAATTTTGGCTCCATTAAGGGAGGATTTACTCAAGCATATAAAAGCACTTGTCACTTCTGAAAGTCATGAAGTAAAATTTTCAGCATCTCAGATGCTGACATTATTCTCTTTAAATTCTGAGTGATGTTGTATAACAGTCTCGTTTTATGACTCTTGAATAGACTTTACCCTGTGTAGAAAATAATCATTCTTCATCCACATCCTTCAGTTAGTGGGAACAGCTTCATGTGTATTTGCATTGCATAAGGGCAACTGATGGCTCTACAGCAATTTTGAAATACTTTATAAGGAGACAATAGTTGAATTACATTTAAGTAAAAACTTGACTAATGATAGTCTCTGCCAGGTTTTGTATTTGGTGTGTATTCTTCTACTGGTAACTACTGCATTTATGTGAACTTGACAGTAAGAAGTAGAGACATGCTATGAGATATATTAGAAAATGTTTCAGATGGGTGAATATCAGGATTTTTAAAAAAGTTTTTGGAATGGTCTTGTCTTGTGTGGGTATTCTCTTCTTTTTGTCATACCTGTACAATTCCAAAGGAGTGTTTTTCAATAGGTTGCATGCATTTTTACTCCCTTGATTCTCATTGATTTTAGTGGATATTTTTACACTTAAAATTGTAATTTAGGCTTTTCAAATAAAAGAAAATAATTGAATGTTAGCACATAATGCTGTTCAGAGAATGTGTTTGTGTTCAGTCCCCTCTGAGTTGAGAACACATTTGAAATGTTGTCGGAGTGATAGCCCTGACCCAGGGTTCATTGGCAACAGTATTGCTCAGGACCAAAAGAAAGATAAAGGGAGGCTGAGGGAGAGTGAAGTATGACGCTACCTGCAGTGTGTTACTTGCTCAATGCTGGTATTCACTGTCGGCTATTAGAAAGTCTAGCTGGAAAAAGTGAAATACTATTCATGTGGAAGATAGTAATTGCCAAGTTTGATTTTTGTTTTTCCACTAAGTTCAGTTTATACCCGATACAGGAAATAAAGACAATGAAGAAAAAATTGAGTGAGCTGTGTATAGACTTTAATAAAAACCTGAATGAGGAAGACACATTTCTTGTATTTTCTAAGGAAGAACTTGGTAAGTAGTACGCTTGCTCCTTCCATTTCTTCAACCTTCCAGTTTTACTGGAGTAATCATTTTTGGCCCAATGAATGATGGTTAGATGAAGTGAAATTCTGACTGTTTTCCAGTCTTCTCTGCTTTCTTTTTAATCCTTCCCCAAAGTCAGTTTAGAATTACCCTTTGTAGGTGTTTATGATCTCTTCATAGATCTGTGCTTCCTGAAGTGTTTGCCTTGCATCAATTTAGCATATCTGTCCTACTTTTTTTTTCCATAACTTTACTCTTCTCTGCTTCTTTTATCAGTTCTCTGCCATCAGGCAATCCCCTGTGTATTATATTCATTGCAATTATTGGAAAAACTTTTCTGTCCTGCAATATATTTTAGCTACTTCAATCATTTAAACTGTTCTAGAGATTTTATGTGACAGAGAATTTGGGGATTCATTATCTGAAGGGCAGGGCATAAAATGTGCTTTAATAACACTTGAGATTTTTTTATGTCATACTCAGTTTTTATCTGGTAGCCTTACATATATTTCTCTTTTGCTCACAAGTGTTTCCAATTTTTATTTTGCTTTTGATTTGAAAAAGTTTTAGCAAATAGTTGTAAAAAGAAAGGTCGTATTTCCGTGGAGATTTCTGATGTCAAATTAGATTGCAGCAAAACAAATGCAACAATCTCGCAAAAAGAGAGGGGAGTAGGTAATTCTGGTAAACATTCTTTATGAAATTGTGTTCTATAGAAGGCCTTCCTGATGACTTTATTAAGAGTTTAGAGAAGACTGAGGAAGACAAATATAAAATTACTTTAAAGTATCCCCACTATTTTCCTGTCATGAAGAAGTGCTGCATTTCGGAAACCAGGAGAAAAATGGAATCTGCCTTTAACTCGAGATGCAAAGAGGTATGTCGTATATTGACTGTTCCACTGGGTGATGACAGAGTTGAAAAATGGAGCTAGACATTCAAATGTTAGATTTGAATTCTATATATTGTCTAGTACTATGAAATCAGAACTTATCAGTGTGGTATTTAACAGTTCCTTGCTCCAGTTTATTCAGATGTCTAAAGACCTTAGAAGTTGATGATCCGCCTGTGTGTGTGTGTACGTATCTTAAAGTTTCAGTGGTGCTGTAAATAGAAGTAGGATTTTGATCTTTTGCCAAATTTCCCTACAGTGTTCTGCAGCTGCTTACTGCCACTTTCCTCCCAGAGAAGGACATCTGATTGTAGCTTCGGTAGTACTTTGGGATTCTTCAGAATGAGAGGGGTTATTTAAGCACACATTTTAATTATGAAATACAGGTGATTAAATGTGAAATTAACACATTGCATATTGATGAGAATTTTAATGATGTTAAAAAAACCCCAATTTTTATAAAAGATTCACTTAATTATCTGCAAAATAGCTGGAAACATGCCTTATAAAACGAAGAAATAATTTCACAAATAATTTGTTTGATACTGGTGAGACCAAGCATCTAGACAGGTACAAAAATAATGAAAAGGATAGAAAGGGTAGAAGAAGTGTCATTCAGGCAATTGTACCAACCATTTGTTAGAGAACAATGGCAGAGTTGAGCTTTTATACTTGAAGTGCTGGGAAATGTGAAGAGTACAAGATAAGATAAAATGGCACCAAGAACTGAACACTCTGCAAGTCATCACACTTAAAGGGATTTGCTGTTAAAACTGTGGGACAATTTTCGAACCTAGTGCTTGGAAAAAAAGGTTTTTCCCTGAGAAATCTCACTTTTCCAGAACTGGAGGTTAACACAGTTACATTTTCAGCTTCTCAAGGATCCTCCACCACATTTAGGTCAGGGCCTGTGGTTTTTGTGTTTCAGATGTCTTTCTCTGACTGCTGTTGTCAGAGTGGCAGAAGAGGGAAATTTGCAAACAAGCTTTGAATGTTGGCACAATAGCTTTGCCGTCTGTCTTCACCACTAACAAGCAATTAAGCCTGCTGTCAGCCATTTCCCTGTTATCTTTCACATTTAAATGATTGATAAAGGAAATAAACTCTGTGCAACAGTCAAAGATTTGTTACTATCCTAAAAGGAAATGCTATATCTTTAGATTAATTAAAACAGATAAATTATAATAGGGAGAGTAATGACTCAGATTGACTAGAAAACTAGCTACCTGCAGTCAAATGCTATGACAAACAAATTACAAGGATCTAGCTAAACTTACATTATTCTGAATTTATATCTTAAAGTGTTTCATTTTAAATGTTTGCTGTTTCTTGTGATTACAGATATTACTCAGATTATTGTTTCGATAACATGGATTTTCTGGTTTCACTTTACAAATTTCCCTCCTTTCTTTTTTAGGAGAACACAAAAATTCTTCAGCAATTGCTTCCACTAAGGGCAAAAGTAGCAGAACTTCTTGGTTATAATACACATGCCAACTTTGTCCTGGAGGTAAACACTGCAAAGAGCACAGATAATGTAACAGCCTTCTTAGGTTTGTTCTTATTTATAAACAATACTTTTATATTTGGTGTGGCAACATGACTCCTCAGCCAAGATAAATTTAAATACATAATTGGGTCACAGTGTCCATCATGTTTAGATAGAAAAGGAACTCTCTGTTGCCTCTGTTCTGGCATGTATTTTTTTTAGACCATAGCTGTACAAATGCAATTGCTCCGAAACAGGGAAGCACAAGACAAAAATCTGAAAATAACTGCTCTGTGACAGCCAATATAGGCAAGTGGTTATGTTTTTCTCTGTCCCAAAATGCAGTTATCGTCATTTAGAAGCAGAATAACACGTGCAGCCTAAGCAATTTTATTAGTTCAAGAGGCTGTGTCACAGTTGCAGCTTTTCATTCCCTTAGGTTAGCTGCAATTTTTTGTGTGTCTGTAGCCTTAGTGTCTTTTTCTGATACAACTGCATTAAGTATAATGAAAGATTACAGTATGTGGTGATGCAACTTCCATGAGCTGAATTAAAAAATTAAATCTGGAATTCAAAAGCTCTCTAATGGAATTTGATCTGAAAACAGACATATCTTGAAAATTTTAAACTGAGCAGTTTACAAATTTATAGTCATCCTGTTGACCTCAGTGGGCCCACTCTTGTGCATAGAATTAACCTCTACTTTCTGGAATTACATAGTTCCACAGAATAGTATGTGTTCCTTCATTTATGTGTCCTAAGAGCACTTAGGATTGTATATTTATATGTCATGTTAATAAACCCCCCAAAATAATTTGGTACAGCAATAAAGTCTGTTTGGTGGTAGTGGGTTTTTTTGTGTTTATACACTAATAAAGAGGTACAAATGCGACTCTTCCTTCACCTGTAATTCTGTTGCATTTCTCCTGTTATAGTGAGCTCAGCTCCATATTTGGCAATACCAATTACCCATATGTTTGTCAATGAACTTACACTTAATTTTGATTTATAATTAAATGTTAGAATTATCTGATTTTTTTTTAAGTGTACTTAAAGTAGTTTGGACTCTTTTCTATCCATTATATTTTTGTAATTCTAAGTGGGCTTTTATAATACTGTGTTTTTTCAATTGTTTTGAAGCTGACACACCTCATAATTTAGCAGTTATTGTTGTGACTTTAAGTTTTTACAGTATGAAATCATATATTTTTCTATTCATAAATGTCATGTTTCACAGTAATTCTCATAGAGGGAGAATGTTCATCAAATTAATTGTCAGCTTTAATTTAGGTCTTTTGATATATCCTCAGCTACAATCATGACAGTATGATTTCCTCTGCTTTGTTTATATATATTCATGTTTTAAATCAGTGTTCATAAGCTGATCTTATGGCTAGGAAGAAAAGCATTCTGTCCTATGACATATTCTGAATTTAGCCTAATAAGAGCTGCAAACAGTATTTCAGTCATGTAAATGCATATAGTGCCTTACAGCCTACCTACCTAGAAATAGGAGTGGCAATTCCTAAATTTTACATGATAGGTAGCAATAGTGAACATTAACCTGAATTCTTAAGGAAGAAAAAAGTGTCTGGTAGTCCAGAAATACTTACAAGAGAATAAGTACAGTATGTCCTTTATGGGAGTTTCAGTAAGCTCAGATGTTTTATATTCAGTGTGTTGGATTCATAGTGCTATGACCCTTTCTTGTCCAAGAAAAGCTATATTAAAAAAAATTGCGATCATAGAGATTAATATCCAGTGGCTTTGGTAGTTTAGAAGCTAGTCATCATATAGGCAAGAACTCTATAAAAATGTCTCTTGTTCTTTTATAGGACTTTAGCTAGAAGTAGGTCATAATCTGTTTTGAAAGTCTTGGAAGAAAAAGTAGTGTTTGAATTTTGTGTTGCACTTCCAGTAACTAATAGTAGTTGTAGTCCTCAGCTGTTTCTGCAGAAACACATCAAGAGAACTGAGATTACATGAGGTAAAATCAAAGGCTTCAAGCAAAAGTGTCTAGTGTTACTTTCCATTTCTGATGTCTTTGAAAAAGTCTAAATTTACCAAAACCCTTCACAGTACTGCTAGGCCTATGTGGACTCCTGTATTATTTATAGCATGCCTGCAATTAAAACTCATTAAGACAAGAAAGCAGACAGTTTGCTTTGCTGTTAGTCAGCAAATGAAAAACTCTAGTATCCACTCTTGGGGCACGTATTTAAAGTTACGAGTCTATTTTATAGGAATACACATTACAGTAAGGAACACAGAAGTTGATTCCAAGGCAATCTCTGTTTCAGATGATTTGAGTAAGAAGCTAAAGCCATTGGTTGAGGAAGAAAGAGAATTCATTCTAGATTTGAAGAAAAAGGAGTGTAAAGAAAGAAACTCTGATTATGATGGAAGAATCAATGCATGGGATCTTCATTATTATATGAACAAAACAGAAGAACTGAAGTACTCCATAGATCAAGAAAAGCTGAAGGAATACTTCCCAATTGAGGCTGTTACAGAAGGCTTACTGAATATTTACCAGCAGCTGCTGGGACTTGTATTTGAGCAAGTAGAAAGTGCTCATGTTTGGCACGACAGCGTTACTCTTTACACAGTAAAGGATAATTCAACAGGGGAAATGTTAGGGCAGTTCTATTTGGACCTTTACCCCAGGTAATTATGACTTGGTGTTTTACTTATGTGTTTAAAATGGAATTGGTCTTAGTGGGTTGCTGGTGTGGTTGAAATTAAATGCATTTGGAAGTAAATATTTGTCCCACTGACAAGACTATTACTGTGTTCATTAAGTTGTCCTCTGGACTGTTTTCAGATTGTTTACACTTTTTCTTTTTTTGCAATACTACCGCGTTTCTTGCTTATATTCAGTTTATGAAGCATTACTACTTTGTTCATTTTTTGTAGTATTGCTGTCTAGTCAGTTGTCCATAATTTTTTGCCTCTATGAACTTTTCTCCTTCCTAACTGAAATATTGTTTTACTTTTCATTTATGTTGAACTGTTACTCCAGTCTGTTCAGATCAATTATATTCCTATTTGCCAAGCGTTCCTAGTTTCTCCCAGTTCCTCTTTACACTTCATATGTGTATTTTGTACCCTGTTGTCCAGACTGCTAAAGAAAATATCAAATAGATCAGGACCAAGAATAGATTCCTGTTGAGCACACCTTGAAATGTACTTCCAGATTGATCTCTGTAGCTCTCTAGCTCTCTAATAGCTATTTACAGCATCATCTGTGTTCTGTCAAAATTAGGAGACTAGACTGATTTGACAGGATTTATTCTTAGCTAGTCCTTTTTGACTGTTTCTCACTATTGTTTGTGGGTTTTTTAAAATTACTCTTTAGCAATTTATAAATTGGCTGATACCCTTTTTAAATATAAATTGATTTAAGGCTTTGCTGAGTTAAGAAAATTAGGTTAGTCAATACAATAGTACATAAATTGTTCTTTTTAAGATAGGCATGTTATCTCCTTCACGTGTTTGCCTGCGCCCCCCTTTCTGCGAATCATGTGAATGGCTGAACCTATTTGTTAGTAAGATTCTTCTGACTTAACTACCCAGTTAACTACTCAGGTTTAGGGCAAAAATTTCAAAATAATTTTTCTTTAAACTTTTGGATCACACTGAAAATGCAGTAAACTGTATTCTTTTGTCTCCTGTAATGAAAAAAAAAAAATACTGCTTCAGAGGACAGAACCTAGTCCTTCCTGTTACAGTAGCAGTTTAAAGTAGAATTGGCATCTAAAGTATATATACTTTCAGTATTTGAGTAAAAATTATATTCTTGTAAATGCTGCTGTGAATCTTAAACTGATGTGATTTAAGTACTAGGGTTTTTTGCCCTTGTGCTCTTAACAGGATCTTAAACTTAGTGAGGCTTAGAAGTCATGAAAAGATGTAATTTCTTTCTGTAAAGCTTTAAAGAGACTGATTGTCCCTGTTCTTGAACAGGCTTCGCCATTCTGGTGAGCAGGCTTGTGGTTTGAAGATAGTGTCTGATATATTTCCTTATACAGAGAGGGAAAGTATGGGCATGCAGCATGCTTTGGTCTCCAACCCGGCTGTCTTCTCTCTGATGGCAGCAGAATGATGTCTGTAGCTGCTCTGGTAACCAACTTCACAAAACCAGCATCAGATCGCCCATCATTGCTGCGACATGATGAAGTAAGGACTTACTTCCATGAATTTGGTCATGTAATGCATCAAATATGTGCACAGGTTAGTGATGTTTCAATTCCAGTGTAAGACTTATTTCTTTCTCCACTGTCTCAAAGCAAGGTATAAGTCTGTTTTGGTGGTTTCTAATTTTAGTAAAGTACGTACGCAATTTTTTGGTTATTTTTCAAAGTGGCAGGTTGGGTTGGGTTTTTTTGTTTGTTTTTAATTTTTATTTAAAAGTACAGCAATGAATACACCTTCTTATGAAAAACATTTTCATAGGAACATATACTTTTGCATTTGCACCATGCAGGTACCTGTGATGAGTGAATAGATCCATGTGTAAGGTAAAGAAGGTGCTCAGTGGTGGCTTCTGTTACAGCTGTCAGAGGGCTTTTTATTACTTCTAGTAGCCTGCTAGATATTAGAAGCAAAAAAAGGTTGCTGTACCTAGGAATGCAAATGATTTGTGAATCTAGATCACCTCCAGCATTTTGGCATTTACTGCTCTTGAGAGCTATCACTCTTGACATCAAAAGCATAAAACAGGTCTTGCCTGAGCTATTGTATTTTCTGCTCTCCTATCTGACAGTCAGGGTTCTCACAGTGACCAGAAAGAACTGAAGCTAGTCTGCAGATTTTGCATCAAGATGTCAAGTTGTAAAATTGCTGGTTTCATTTTTACTTGCGTGTAAAATTGATTCTGCCAGATGATAAATTTATTATTGGCCTAATGAAAATTTTATGTTTCAGAGAGACAAGTCTCAGTATTCATTCACCAAAAAATTCACGTAATTATCTACAAAGCAGTGTAGCACTGCTTTCATCTTCTTTATAAACAAGTACCAAATAATAATATCAGAGAAATATGACACATATTTCCAGGGCTCAGTTTTGGGGCCAGTCTTGTTCAATATCTTTATCAATGATCTGGATGAGGGGATCGAGTGCACCCTCAGTAAGTTTGCAGACGACACCAAGTTGGGTGGGAGTGTTGATCTGCTCGAGGGTAGGAAGGCTCTGCAGAGGGACCTGGACAGGCTGGATCGATGGGCCCAGGCCAACTGTATGAGGTTCAACAA